CTTTTCAAAGTCATTCTCTTGGCCTGTCCATGGTAAATCCACCTTTGATATCATCTCTATCTTGTCAGATAAAATTTCTTCAACGTCTGTCATTTCTTCAATAACATTTTTGGGATGTAGTCTATCCGTAGAAGCAGACATCATTATTGACATTGTTGATATTGTGGCTACTATTTTCTGATTCCATTCTTCAAAAGTCTCCTTCAGTATTTTTATTGTTATAATTTTTTGCATTTTATAGGCTTGCTTTTTTCCCCTCTGCCTAAAATCTTTAGTCCCCTCTAATGTCCAGTCTTAAAATCATGAAATTACTTATCTCTGTTACGTCTTCCGAAATCCAAAAAAAAAAAAATCTATTTCCCACGAGAAGCTGTTTGTTCTTTATAATTAATTCCAAAGCCTTCTTGTTAAAGTTTCAATATTCCAATTTTATCTGGACCTGTTTATACCTTTCTAAGATCAAAATCTTATTTAACTTTTTGCTGTTTATTTCAGATCCTTTAAGTTCTTATGCTTATAGTTAATTTTTCTTTTGCTCAGAGCTGAAGATACTTACCTGATGACGACTTTGCGAACCTGTCGTTCCGAAAGTCTCGAATAGCTTTAAAATGGTTTAGGCCAGTTTCTGAAAGTGATTAGGAAGTGAGGTTTGCAAACTTGGTGTCCTCTAAAAGTCTCTGCTGTGGTCGCGAACAAGACAGCTCATCCTGTCATCTCCCGGCGCTCAAGCCACGGAAAACTGTTAACAATGAGTACCGTTCCCATCCTGATTGGGCTCCTCATGTAGGTTTCATGCAACAGGAGATCGTGGTTTGCTCTGCCTTGGCTTGTCCAGCAAGCCAGCATGGTTTGGGGAGCACAAAACACTGCGCCCCACCCCACGAAGGGGCTGACCGCAATGGGGGATCCCGGCCAGGTGTGGCCAGAGCCAGACCACCCCATTCTGGAACCCGCTGACCTCAGCCGCAACCCGCAGCCGGTTCACAAAGAGGAGTTCCGCCCCGGGCGGGCGGTTCAACTGCCGAGCCGGCCGAGTCGGTCATGCAAGGGGCCCAAACCGGGGGCTCCCGGAGTCTGGACATGGACGAAGGCAGCTCAGGTCAGGAGGCTGCCCCTGCCCCTCCAAAGGGGAGTGGTGGAAGCAGGGCGGTCAAAAAAGTCAAGATGGCGGCCTGGGTGGGACCAAAGCTCTGCCTGTTTTTTTTTTATAAGCCAGGAATGCAGGCTGGTTTGGGGCCCCATTGAGGGTATCTTAAAATGGGGGGCATGTTTCCCAGCTGAATAAAGCCGTGGCTGGGGGGGACCTGGTTTGAGTTCTCCCGCAGCCACGGAGGTTCATGGAGGACTTTGGGCCAGTGCTTCCCACTCCAGCCAGCCTACCTCACAGGGCTGTTGGGAAGAATGGGAGGAAGGCATGCTACGAATGAGTTCTTCAATAGACAATCAAGCTAACAAAGAGGATAATTGACTTGGAAGGCAAAGAAATCTTCAACAGTTCTGTCCCCAGCTTAGCCCCACTTCCAGGGGAAATGTAGTCCCACCCAAACGGGGGGTCAAAAAAATCGAGACGTCAGGTGGTGGGTGTGGCTGTGTGATGGCAGAATGAATGCTCTCATTTTACACATGCATCATGAATGTCATAAAGGGTGGGGCTTTGCGACTGCTGTCTTGACTTTTTTGACCCCCACTACCCCAGATGCCCCTGCACCCTTCTCCAGGCAAACTGCAATAGCTCACTTGCTCCCATGATGTGGTTAACAAAGTCCAGTGCAGTGTTATTTAATAAATGAATTAAAAGCGTGCCACCAATATCTCAAATCAATTAAAGCATACATGCTGGCTGGGGAATTCTGGGAGTTGAAGGCCATACGTCTTAAAGTGCTGAGGCTGAGAAACTCTGGTCTAGTGGCTGCATTCACACAATGGGCTACACCTGGTTAGCTTGACCTCAATTCTTTTTTGGCTTAGACTGCAATGCCAACCCAGCTGGTTGGGTTTGTGGTCGGTTCGTGGTATGGTGTGAACCAGAAATGAATGCTGGGCCAGCCCAGCCATTGTGTTGAGTTATAACATGGTTTGTCCACACTTGGCTTAGCACAAGACCACCAATGCTGCCGTAGTCAACAAAGCAGTGCTTCCCAAGCCTGGTAAATTACCCAAAATTGGATAAAAGTCATTTTTCTTTGGGTAACGACACACGAACCCATTACACAATTGCAATAAGGACATTTAAATTGACTTAAAGATTGCCATGAGTACTAAAATATATTCAAAGATCCCCCAAAGTATTCCTATTTAGACGAAAATCAATGAAATTACCAATGGTAATTTGTTGAAATGACATAAAGATCATTCAGTGATATTGTTTTTATAATACAGGAAGTCCTCGAGTTATGACCATTCGTTCAGCGACTGTTCGAAGTTAGGGTTTTGGGTAATGAAGGAAAAAGTTTGGGAAGCATTGCAATAAACTATGGTTTAGCGTAACTCATAAACAGGTCATAGGCGTTACAGCCTGGGCATTTCAAAAATTTGGAGCCAACTTCCCCAACACGGCTTCTCTAGAGATGTTGGGACTACAGTGGTTGGGCATCCTGGGGCGATGGGATTCATAGTCCAGGATCTCTGAAGGGCCCCACATAGGGGACACAAGTTTGGAAATTTAGCACAGCTGGACACTCGCAGTCCTCTGAGGACCGGGCTTTCACCCCCGGCAGCTGCCTTGCCCTCGGGTGGATCGCATTTGTGGGTCACATCTTTAGGGCTGGTCTCACAAACCTCGTAGGATCAAGCGTAAATAAAGTAAAATCTCCCCTGAGTTGAACTGGGCGTGGGGGACTGGCGACCCACGGAAGGGGGCGGTTTGCCCTGGTCACCACCACCTTCTTCCAGTCTGTTTTTCCCAACTTCCCAGTTGATCCCCCAGCTCTGAAATGTCCTGGTGGTCTCCCTTCCGAGGACCAACAATCCCGGCCCAACCCTGCTGAGCCTGTTTCTTGAGATGGCAAAGTGCCACCATCGGGCTGCGTTCTGTCCCTAATGAAATCATTCCTCGATTCACGAACATGAGGACTAGAAGCTTATTGTGGCCAGGCAAGAAGAGTCAAACCTCTTAACCTGTCCTTTACACGCTATATTATGACCGTGCCCACCCATCCTTCTGAACCCCAGGCTAAAAAACCTGAATTCTTTTTCAAACCTTTAAGACCGAGCTTCTGAGTTTTTTTTTAAATTTGAAAGTGTTTTTTTAAGCACTGTGATGATAATAAAAAAATTAAATCTCCACCCAAACCCCCAGCACAAAAACGAAGGTTAGGGTGGAAGAAAGAAAATCAAATCAATGTCTAGAGAAGGTGGCTTAGTGCCCTCCGTATAAAAACAGATGGTTAGGGCTATTCGGAGTAACCCTGATTGGTTGATCGACAGGCTTTGGTATGTTTTAATTGATTTGAGATATTGGTGGTGCACTTTTAATTCATTTATTACATAATGTATTAATAATTAATCTCCTTATGCAGCCCTAGGTAACAAATAGTCTGGAACAGTGTTTCTCAACCTGGGCCGCTTTAAGATGGGTGGACTTCAACTCCCAGGATTCCCCAGCCAGCAAGGGAACTGGTCTGGAGCAAAGTACTCTGCACATGCTCAGAGGCAGGCCCCTCCCGGTGGTGGCAAAGCTCCTGGGAGGGTGTCTATTCCGGGGAGAGGCCCACCCTTCCTCTTCCCCCCCTTCTCCATTCCCCATCCATCTCCTTCCGCCTCCCT